TTCTTGACACACACTTCCTGCTCCTATTAATTGATGAAAAGTGAACGGAAATGTCCTTAGAGAAGTGCTTACTTAGTTGAAACTTTACCATCCTGCAGATAAAACTGCTGGCTTGGTTCCCATCCTCAACTTTGTTATTCTCGGACCACAGACTAGATGAAGCTTTCGTTCACCTAACAATGATCAGTTAGTTAATCCCTACTTTGTCTCAGACATGATTCAAGCCACTAGGGAAATAAAGATAATAATACAGATCAAAATGGAAAGTGCTATGCTAAGGATACATAAAATAGTGTCTTAGAAGGTACACCTAACTATGTCTGGAGGAGAGACAGAGGAAAGAGGGCTAAGAAAACAATGCTAAAATTGAGCCTTAAAGGATGGACAGGAGGGATTTAGCAGGCAACAAGGCAGGGCATAACATGCCAGGCATGTAGCAGATACCCAACCATAACAGTAACAAGCCAGTGGCAGACCCTCATGGCAAAGAATCACGGAACACAGGCAGAACAAAGAATGGAGGGGAATAAACCTTAATCAAGGTGCCAGAAAAAGAGGTAGCATTTTTTCTTGGAGGGTTTGGAGGGAGTTTAAGGAGGAGGTGGCATTTGTTCTGGTTTTAAAGGTAGAGTAAGATTGACAGATAGAGGAGGGAAATGAAGTCATTCAGTTAAGGAAACTCTGTGAAGGATAGATAAGTGTGAAGGTGCATGACCACCCTCTCTTCTGTTTACATTCTCACCCTAAGAGATTTCATCTAGTCCTGTGGCATCGAATACCATCGGCAGTGGATATCACCTTAATTTAGACCTGGAGCCATGAATCCGCTCTTGAGCCACCCATCTGTCCCTCTAGATGTTTATCTATAGTTCTCCACTTAAAAGTCGTAGAGTCATGTCAATTGTTTTAATGTTCAATACTGAGCTCCTGATTGTCTTTCTTTTCCAAACCTGTTAACTTCCAATCTTCCATCTCAGTTATTGTTATCATCATATAACCAGTTACTCTAGCAGAAACCTAGGAATCATCCTTGATTCCTTTTTCCTTCAGCCTTCATAACTGACCCCTCAATGAGAACTCTGACTCCACTCAAAAACAATATCACATGTGAGCACTTCATTTTCAGTGTCCAGGTGATCATTTTTGCCTTATTCTCCTATTTTGTCTCCTTGTTTCTGCTTTGTTCCTCCGCTGTGCATTTTCACTCAGTGGTCTCTTTTAAAAATCCAAGTCAGATCATGTCACTCCTTGCTTTAAATGCTTCATTAGCTATTCCTTGTTTCTAGAACCAAATCCTTACATAATCATCTAGCCTCCATCTAGCTTGCCAATCTCACCTCCAGTCTTAACTCAAACCACCTGCTCTAGCTGCACTGACTTCTTCCCAGTTCTGAACATGTGCAAGGTCTTTCTCAGTGCTATTGCACCTAAGGCATCCACTTCCTTTAGCGATGCCCCCCATCTGTTTCCATGGTTGTCTCACTCTCATCTTTCAAATATTGATTCAGATGTAATTAAAAAATGTTTTCTAATAGTTCTACCCAAATGTTTCTAAATTGTTACCATACCTATTCCCATCATAAAACTTAACATGCAATATTCTGTTCATTTGTTTATGTGTTTATTATCCCTCCCTCTTTCTAGAAAGTCCCAGCGCAGTGAGGCAGAGGCTTTATTTCTCTTTAAGCACAATGTTCCAAGTACATAGCACAGTTTCTGGTTTAAAGCATGTGCTCAATGAATAGTTGTTGAACAAATGAATGCCGAAGTCAGTAACATTGTAAGACTATAGATAAGGGTGAGTATAATCAAATACACAGAGACATTCTGAAAAATGAGAACTGAAAAAGATAGTTTGGTTTGGTCACTGCAGGTCACCGGTGATTTGGAGTGAGAGGCAGAGGCAGGAATGTGATGAATGAGTAGTAAAAGGGGAGATGTGAAGTTGGAGAATATTAAGTCTTCTAAGATGCTTGACTGAAAAGGGAACAATGAGGGCTGTGGGGTTACAGTCTTGGGATCTAAAGAAAAGTCCTTTAAAATTTTTGTTCATGGGAGATATTTGTGTGCATTTCCATGTGAGAAGGAAACAGCAAAGACCAAGAGGTTGAAGGTAGGGAGGGTGGGGGAACAAGGATATATGAGTGTGGAAATGATGGAATTGGGGAATTGGGTCTGGAGGCCAGGTGAGGGACAGTCTTGGACAGAAGGAAGGACACCTCTTCCTCTAGGGGCAGAACATCAGGAAAGGTGTCTTTTAGAGTTTCTATTTCCTCTTATAAAAGTGAAGAAGCAGAGGCAGGTATGGAGCTCAGTGAGTACACAGGTTTTGGAATAACAGCATGAGAAATGGAGAGGCATTGACCAGGCATTCATAAAAGGTACGCTGTCAATGAAAATTCACTTGAAACTCTAAATCTGGTGCCAGTTTCTACAGTTGTGTAATTCATTCATCAACTAAATTATTTGTTATGTATATACTATATTCTAGATACTTCAGTTGCCATTAGAAGGCCAAGATAAATAAGTCAGTTTCTGTAGTCCAGTGGGGAAAGAAAAAGTATACTAATTAGCAAAAGCCTTGTGATGAGACCTATACTAGAGTAATAAAATTATGTGACCAGAGCACAGAAGAGGGGGAAGATTCTGCTCATCTAATTGATGGCTATAATTGAAGATTTCAGAATTGGAATTCAACAATTTAGAATCCTCGAGGAGGAGGAAGCTCCCTGCAATAGAGGAAGTCAGGAAACTGAGATTAGCAGGTTGGAGGCATATTCAGACCAATGCTTAAGTTTCCTAGGAAGCGGGGAGGAATTGTTTTGGACAATAATTCCTGTGAGGCTGTGACTCTCATATCTGAATTCTTGGTAAGTAGTTTAGAGTGACCTGGAAATCCACACATGCCAGTGATAAGGACAGGTAGAGGCTGACAGAGCCAGGTAGTGTACACATCAGAGGAAGAAAGCATTGTACACGAGAGGGATCTCACAGGGCTGAAAGTAGCAGTGACCAAGGAGGAAAATGCCCAATTCCTTCCCCAGCCTCTTGCACATGGAGCATCAGAAGATGAGCATTCTTCCCTCAAGAGAATTTCAGTGAAAACAGTGACATAGTATTCTGAAGTTGGAAGATACAAGGGACTTTGTGTGTGATGACAAAGGTTTCAGAGGGCCCAGTAGAAAGCAGTGGGAAGGGGGAAAACTTGTGCATGTAAGAGTGCATGGAGAAGAGAGGGAGGGAGGGAGGAAGAGAGGGAGGGAAATAGAGAGAGAGAGAGAGAGAGAGAGAGAGAGAGAGAGAAGCTTATGCTGCAGCAATGGCCGAGGATACCAGAGTCAAGGATGGGAATGACTGGTTCTAGGATGCCAAAGGCCCCCAGGTGTGGTGTCCTTGGTGCCTGCACAGAACAGTGCACCAAATGGTGCTGTCAGTGATCTGAGGATCCCAGCAACCTGGTGCTGGTCCACGTGTAGTCAAGGGATTGTGAGCAAAAGGACCACTAACTTCCCTCCAAGGCCAGTGCTGGGAAGAAGTGAACATCACTGGTCTGTGGAACCCGGAGGAAAATGCTCTTTAATCCATTATCTGATCTCCTTCAGTATTTAGTTTTGAAGTAGCTTTATCTTCTCTGATTATGGAAGAACTTATATTCCTTGCAAAAAAAATGATGTAACACAGAAAAGTATAAAGAATAAACTAAAGATCACTTATAAGCCCCAGAGGGAGACAGTACAATCATTGTTAAGATTTCCATATCTGGCATTAAGAGAATGCCCTGGAACTTACCAGTTAGGACTCTGAAATACACCTTACCAGTCAGCGTTTCCCTCCTTTCCCTCTCCGATCCCTTCTTTTCCTCTCCGATCATCTTTGGTCTGTTACCTTCCTAGCTTTACCTCTGCTCTCCCTGAGTTCAGATCTCAATCATCTCTGCAGCTCATGTAGTTGCCCAGTAAGCGCTGAATGGATGTCATGGCCGTGGCTGCTGGTGTCACAGACCCTGCTGCTAGTCTGTATGGCTGAGGCCACGCTGCTAGGACAAGTCTAGAAAATACTTAGCTTTTCATATTCGCTTCTCAAAAAGGAAAGATGCCACATTGGGGCGAGGCTAACACATCCTCTGTAACAGAGCCTCTGCTGGCACTCACTCACCATCAGTCACCATTGAGCTACCCTGTTTTTCCAGCGAGATTTAGTCTCTTGACCTGGGCACAGGAGGCGGGCCACACAGACTGAATGGGCCTCTGTCAAATAAGCATGAACTTCAACTGCAGCATCAGTAGGCGAACCCTGAATAATGATTCCAGCCCCCTGAAAATAGCAATGTGTACTTCTAGTTTTCTCATTTCTGCCTCCATTTCCAGAGAAGGGAAGTCAAGCGGTCTAGAAAGAACAATGCTTTCACCTTTATGAGCTTGATAAATTTGTCCTTTATTTTACCACGTAAGTCAGAACTGCTATATATCACAACCCTGCTGATTTTTTCTTTTCTTCCTTCCTCCCACCTATCTCCTGCCACTTCCCCAGAATCATAAAGCTTTCAACATCCTGCTGTCCATTAGCATAAATAAACTCATGCTTTCAAGGTAAAAATAGGTTGAATGCTATATTTGTTAAAGACCAAATTACCATAAGAGTATAAAAATATTCTTGAGTAACAGGTAGATCATATACTTTGGAGACAATAACATGCTTTTATTGTGATTCCCTGAAAGTCATTTATTTCAGCCGTAGGTTAAAACCTTAGGTCTCAGCACATCACATTTCCACTCCAGAAATTGTTAAAGTATGTGGTTTCTTAGGACATATACCTTCGTGTTTTAATTTATTTTTTCTGTTGGCAATGTATCATAGGCAGACATAAGAAACAAAAAAGATTGAGTGCCATTTAAATTCAATCTTAGCTCTACAAACCAATGGGTAATGGTGTTACAACATTTCTCCTTGTTTTCACATATCTGCATTAACTCAAATTTTATGTAACATTTATACCATAGATAAGAAAATACTGGGCTAAAAAAGAACAGAGATGGCAAGAAATGGAAATGAGAGATCTTCAGCGTCTAGAAAAATTGAAGAAATTGATGGCTGAACAGTCAGTAAAAGACAGAGAAAGGTAAAAGAAAAATTTTAAGTAGTGTCGTAATGGAGGTGACGAAGGAGTCTTCTGTAATGCATTAGAATAAATGATATCAGAAGGATCATTTTTTTCTAAACTTAATATATCCTTAAAATATTTATACTCACAAATGGACAAAATAATATTTATGATATATTCTAAACCCTCATGTTCATATATGAATCTCTAGTTTTCCATTTTGTCCCTTAGATAGCTTCCTAGTTAAAACCCTCACAGAGGATTACATAGTGTTTGATTGCCCACTGTGTGCATGAAATGATACTGGCTGCTGCTGTGACTTAATATTTTGACCCAGAAGGAGGAAACCATTATTCACATAAGAAGGGAGATCCATTTATGGCTGAGGCTAGGAAACACAGTACATAATTGTACTGTGCTATGTGGAAGTCATTCTAGTACACTTAAGATGTACCCTATATTGGAAAAAACATGAATTTCCTAGAATAATGTAATTTTAAAGCTGAAAAGGACATTTGAAATCAACTACCCCAGTCTCCTCATTTTATGAATAAGTATACTGAGAAATTAAAATTATTTTTCCAAGTTTCCTGTATCAATCAGGGTCAGTGAGAAGACAGAGATAGTAATTTGATTAGGGAAAGTTTAAGATAAAGAAATATTAATTCTAACAGAAAATATCTGTTATATAAAGGAATAAAGAGAACTTTGAAGAATGCTTCAGAGCTGAGGGAGGGTTCCCATGGAAGAAACAAATTTGGAAGTGGGTCTCCTCGCTCCATGGTTGGGATTCAGACCTCATTGTAGAATGTGGAGTTGTGACCCACTGCATGGTGGAGAAGTTCTTGGAGGGGCTCCACCAAAACTTGTTCCCACAGTCACTGGGCAAGCAGGAAACACCCTGCTTGGCTGCAGGAGGCCCAAGCTGCAGGCCCATCACTGGGATGCTTGCAAGACTCAGTGGGAATCTGACCACAGAGGAGACCATGGGGAACATGAGAACTCCCTTGGTCCAAGTGCCACTGGGTGTCACCCACACGTGATGCTGGCAGGTATTGTGTGGTGGAAGGAGCAGGAAGGGGTAAACACTGGAACCAGAAAGGAAAGCCACTTTCTTCTTCCATGTTCCTCCAGCACCCCTTTCTGACAGAGCTTAACATTGTGCCAGATGCAAGGGAGAAATAGTTATATAGTCCAACTCTATTTTCATCTAGCAGACAATGAAGGGTGGATTTGGAGCTGAAACAAACTGGTAACTGGCATAGTTATCTAGTTTAGCTATCTTCTGAATAGATTTTCACAAAATAAGGCTAGGTCTTTAATTTTGTAACACAAATTGCAGTAAATTTCCTCTACAATTAGTTGTTTTTTTAAACAAATTGCCTGGAATTCTCTGTGGTTTCTGCTCAATTTTGTTGTGAACCTGAAACTGCTTTAAGAAAATAGTGTGTTTAAAAAATTGCCCCTTAGACTCATACATAACCTTGGAGGACATAACCATTTTATGAAAGGTCCTCTTGAATCTAGGAAGCTTCCTCTATGACCTGTGAACAGTTCCCTCAAACTCCAGTTACCAAGCTTGCAGAGCAATCTGGAGTTCCACATAGATGCCAGGAAATTCCTAATGATTTCCTGGATGAAATGTACATTATTTTCCAGGTATTTTAGAGTTGAGTTTACTCTAGTATGGAAATAGCCAAGGATATAGCAAAGCCAGGGCTCAAGGCTAAGAGGTGAAACAGCCAATGAGAAACCAGTTATATATTAAGTCAAGATGTAAGTGGATACCCATAGACAGGCCATGCCATGGATCAGAGACAAACCCCCACAAACAGCTAAATACTAAAGGGCCAGGCAGAGGTGGGGGTCCCAAGGCTGGCTGGATAGCCTGAAATTATGCTGGGGCAACAAAAGAGAGCCAGGAATTAAAGGGGGAGGGAAAGATAGAACATATATGAGAACCCCAGCCTCTAGGAGACATGTTTCTAATAGAATCTCCTCTCATAGCCAAGGAGTTTCTTTGATTACAGAGCCATTTCAGTGTTTCCTGTCCCAATAATTATCAAGATTAGCTGACTCTGAAATCCAGTTGAAAAGAAGAAAAGGAAAATCAGATTAATCTACATTCCATAACAGGAAAAACAGGCATGTTATAGTGAAAAAATACTAATGACTAGGAACTAGGGGACCACGGTTTTAGTCCTAAATCTTTTAATAGTGTATGACCTGGCCAAAGTCATTCATTTAACCTCTACAGGGTTCTGTTTTGTCCTTTATAAAACTGAGCTAGATAATTTCTGAGGGCTAAGTAGGCTATCAGCTTTCAAGGCTTTACAATCTATGTGCTCAACTCATGGGAGATGTTGTAGATTTAGATAATTATGAATCCAGTGCTTGTATATCAGTGGGAAATCAGTGAAGAAGGCTATTAAAATAGCAAGATGATATGTCAGGAAATAATTATCAGAAAATTTTGGATGACGTTGTAAATAAAAGCATAGGCCTCATTCTCTGATTTAGGGAGATGGAGCTCAACGTGTAAAAATTGCTGGTAACTTTTGCTTCTGACAAGAACCGGAAATTGTGTTCTTTTTTAACCATCCTGACTCTAAGAAATTTTGTTGATTGGTTAAAATGCTTTCCTCTACTACTGAAATGCAATGTAAAAATCTCATGTTTGATATTTAACTGTAGGCACACTTTTCTTATATCATAATAAGAAGGCTTGAAAGTTTCCAGATATGTGTGTATTCCAAAAATACACACATACACACACACAGTCTTGAGGATTTGAAACTTTATTTCCTTCTTCTATCTTTTAATTCTAAGATCAAGTTTTTTAGAAACATTCATAAATCAGCACACATATTAGGTTGAACCATAAGAAAATTCCATTTCTAAGAGTCCAAAATGGTTAATACTGGCAATTTCATGTGACTCAACACAATAAAAAATGTAACAATTCATTTCAGTTATTAATTATATATCCCTTCTCAGTTGATTACAATCTTTTTATTGAAATTGTTTTTGCCAAAGTTTTCACTAACCTTCTAATTTTTTAATGCTCTATTTTCATTCTCAAAATGCCATAGACGTTAAGAGGAAAGGTTCTACAATCAGATTGTCGGCTTTATCCTTTATAGCTGTGTGACCTTTGGATAAGTCATTTAACTTCCGTGCTTCAATTTCTTCATCTGTACAATGAGGACATATGTCAACCTCATAGGATTGTTGCAAGGATTAAGTAAGATATTAAATGTATACTGACTTCCTGGCACATAGTAATCACATTTAATGAATATTTACTATCAATTGCCTTTTAAAACATGAGATAACTTCTAACATATTTTTTATCAAAATGTTTAAGCATTTTGAGTATTTTTAAAAAATGCAATAATGAGGACATTCTTATAAAAAATGAAGCATTAAGATAAAATCAAAAATTCCTCTTGATCACCACCCTCATGCAACCTCTTTCCTAGAGGTCCTTTATATTACAAGTTGTTTAATACATATACATAGGTACTATCCACATATATCTACATAAAAATGAATTTAAGAACAACAACAACAGAAAACCAATGCATTTTGCAATGTAATACTATTGTTTAAGTTCCAGCTGCCATAACAAAATACCACAGACTGGCTGGTGGCTGAAACAACAGAAAGTTATTTTCTCATGGTTCTGGAGGCTGGAAGTCCACAGGCAAGGTGCCAGCATGGCTGGTTTCCGGCAAGAACTCTCTCTGGCTAACAGACAGTGCATTCTCCTTTTGCACCCGTAAGAGGGAAAGAGAAAGACAGCACGCTTTGGTTTATCTTCTTCTAAGGGCACAATCCCATCCTGACGCCCCACTCTCATAATCTCATCTAAACCTAATTTCTTCGTAATGGCCTCATCTCCAAATACCACCACACTGGGGGCTAGGACTTCAACATATGAATTTTGGAGGGACATATTCTGTTTATCACATGATTTGTATCAAAAAAATCACGTGTGTACAAATTACCTGTTTACTATTAATAACTATTGGTTGCTGCTAGCATGCAAGGTTTTTGTGCCCATTGGAAAAGGTGTCCTGTTCTAGTGGCAAAGTGCATAGAGCCCCCACCGGAAGTAAAATCAGGAAAAGACAAGACCCCCTTTTTGAGCCAGGGCACACAGCTTGACAAGCAGCAGCAAAGCCTAACGTCATTCCCCGTTTATACTGCTGGTCAGGCGTCACTTTTGCAAAGCACAAATTTCAAAATGATACATGGTATCTCTGTAAATAGACCTACGTAATTCTTTTTAAAAACGATGCATTATCCATGTTTCTTCTAAAATTTAACCATCTGGAATTTATTTTCATGAGTGAGATGAGCTAAGTGTCTAACTTTCATTTTTTGGTCCAAATTGATAACCAACTATCCCAACACCAATTATTTAATGATTCATCCCTACCCACTGATTTGAAATACCCACCTTTTTTATGCTTATACTTCCAATTATGCTTTTATATCCATATGGACTCAATTAGATTAAATAAAAACTGATCTATATTTGAATTTCTACATCAATACTACACTGTTCTAATGATTCTGTTTTGCTGTCTGATAGAACAAGTGCTCACGCATTGTTCTTTTTAAAAAACTCTTAATTATTCTTATGTCAAATTTAATTTTAAACATCCTGTTGATGTTGTACATGGAAATTTTGTTCAGGAGAGCTGCCATATATACCAAATTTAATCTCCAGTCTAGGATCATACTTCTAGAATAGCTCTCCAGTTAAGTTCAAGGTTCTTTAGAAGATGTCATAGTTTTTTTATGGTGATGGACTGGAAATTATTTTGGAAAAAGTAGAAATTGGACTCAGAAGCTGATTATAAATTTCCTTTAGTAGCTATGTGAGAAAAGGTGTCTGGACTAGGAAGTGGCTGTGGGGATGCAGAAGTGACAGATGTTTGTGAAGTTAGGTAAAATAAGGCTAACTCTCTTAATTGAGAATGGAGATTGAGGAAAGACATTAGAAAGAA